ATCACGCAGAAATCACGAGGCAACGTTTTACATGATGTTTACTTGTTGCTATGAGTAATAAGACAGAAAAAGCCACACCAAAATAAGTTTAGGAAGCCTACTAGCAACCGTAGTAAAAGCATTTAAAATAAATACCATACACAGTTGAGGAAACGTTGGTTTAAGTACCTGATATGAAGCGGTCGCTGCATAAGTGAAAACATTTACTCTCTGGATCCCACAGTTTCATTTAAGCCCGGACACTAGTGCGTTTTATTACAATGATCCAACGTTTGCGGCGCTCCGGATCTTGGGGAATCCTGTAGAAGGATCTTCCCTTGATTTGTCCCCGTCTGTTCTGGCATCCTGGGGCACAACAGGAATCGACCATATTTCCCGGGTGAGATTTATGAAAAAAAAAAATAGTCTAGGTGCGGGCTTCTGCCTGCCAAAATGGTGCCGTTTCGATTTGAACTGTTGCATGCTGGGAGAAGTGACGTCAACTCCCGGAGCTCTATATCTCCCTGCTCTAATGCTCCACTTTGAGAGGAAGTAGCTGGTGGTGGGTCCTAGTGCAGGACCACAACTGTGGAATGCTCTTCTCCTATGTGTCAGGCTTCAGTAGCAGCGTTTAAAACAAAGCTAAAGACCCACTTTTATGGTTTTGCTTTTAATTCTGCAGGTTAGATGTTAATATATATTTTTTACATGAGTTTATTCTGCTTTTAAATAGTTTTTATTTTTTGCCTCTCAGTCTTAATTTACTGTGCAGCACATTGGTGGCATGCCTCATGCTTGTAAGAGGCTCCATAAATGAAGGTTGATGATAATGAAGACAAGTATTAGAAATTGTCTTAAACCCGAAACTGCTTCTTTTTTTTTTAAATTATAATTACACTCTTCAAAGGGTAGAACCAGAAAAATGCCTTTTTCAGCATGTTGGCATGGCAGCTTGTTAGCAGTCAGAGAGGAGAGTCTGACACATGAGACATATGTGATACCAGGAAGATTTGTTTAATTTCTACAGCAGCATTGTTGTATCGGCTGTAATAGAAGTTGGTATTTTGGAATAAATGATTAATAAAGTCTCATTTTGCATTTGCTTTCAGGGCAACTAGCAGTGAGCATGTAGCTAATGTTGGCTGACTAGGAGGTGCTGCTGGTGAACATAAATGTAGTATAGCAATGTTATATTTACTAAATAGAAACAACAAACATGATCAAATTTACTTGTGAAAAGTAATCCCTGAGCTATGCAACTTCAGAGTATTTAGGCTGGTCCCTGTTCATCTCAGTAAAGTGTAGCTGACATGCTGGAGCTTGAGTCTGCTTCCATCACATGTTGCCTACATGTCTTCAATGTTGAACACAGTTCATTTGTTTGATATAGTGAAACTGCTCCTGTACAAACTAATGAAGGCTGAGGACACATTTTAGCAGTTAGATGAAGGTGTTAAGAAGACAAACGCACAGCAAGAAGTTAAGTAGCATTTCTGCTTGTTAAACAGTCAATTACTTACAAACTTTAGGGGGTGCTAAAAGCGAGCAGGAACTGCATTGTTTCCCTTTAAGGTACAAAACTGGTTATTTTGTATGTTTACAACTTTACTTAAAGAGCAAGTCAACCCCTACCAGAGTCTAACTCCACTCTCACTTCATGTTTGAAAAATGCAACAAATGCTGTTGCCTGGCAAACCGAGAAGGTGGAGCTGCTAACAAATACACACACAGGCTCACAACAGCATTGTGACATCATAATGTACCAGTTTACATCTTAGCATACCTCTTAGCCAATAGCGGTGGCAGATTTAAATTAAAATATAGTGCAGAGTTTTTACCTGACAATGGCACAACACTGCCAGTTTTAGGCAGAATATTTAAATTTTAACTAAGATGCACTGAAGTGCCAAATTATTGACTACACGTGTCTGCAGCACGATTAGACACTCGTTTATTTAGTTTATCAGCAAAAAAAAGTGTATTGGGGGGGGGGGGGGACTCGCTCTTTAATGTTTAACAAGTGACAGGCAACTTGTGTGACAGTCAGTTGTGTACTGCTTGGAGCTAATGTGGGGTTGCCTTCTAAATAATAAACTTACTTCATTTGTTTCAAACAGCATTCAGCATGCCTGGCAAAGTGTCCAAACGCAAGGCGGATGCTGCCAAGCGCAGCAAACGTCCTCCTCTGCCCAGCGTATTGGAATTCCAACGCCTAGCAGTGACAACGTTCATCGTATGTATTATTTAGTAGAACAAATTATTGTAGTGTTATGCAATTCATTTAATTTATACTGTATTTATGTAAGGTGAAAAAATTATTAGACAAAAAAAAAAAAGAATTTTTTTTGTGTGTGTGTTTTTAAGTCTCTGGTACCGGCTGGCGCCATAGAGTTTGTCGTTGGCCAACTAGTGCAGTGTCCAACAAATCTCACAAGTTTGTCCTTCCGGGTGGGATTCCTGACAAGAAAGTGAGTGTAATGTTCACAAATATTTAAAATGTAAATATAGATTTCCTTCCAATACTATGTAGCAGTACTCTGGGATCCTGAGGAAACAGTCAGATGGTGTTGAAGCTGCTATCAGTTACAGTGCTGCAAACTGATTGAATCAGCTTCTTTTAGACTTGTGTCCCAAGTCTACCAACTTTTGAATCTTAATAGAAAACCTAGTTGTAATCATCTTCCTTTTTAGTCAGTGCTTCTCAATCTGTGATTTAGAACTTAAACTGCTCAGTTATTTTTACATGTCTTTATTTTTATTTACATGTCATTATGTTGGTGTATTTTGTAATTGGTTTTACCGTTTCATGTTTTATTGTTTGTAAACTTTGACTGTTTAATGTTATCGCTTTCTTCCTGAAAAGCATATTACATTGTCTTTTGTATGAAATGTCATTTAATGCAGATTGTTTTATATGAAAATGTATTTATTTCTTTTTCTAATTTAGTTCGTCCTACTTGTTGGGGACTCCCACTTGAGGTCCGTGGCAGACGGCATAGTCCCTTTGCCGGTTGGCGGCCTCGCTTTTGGTGTGATGTCCACTCCAGGAGCTTGTGCAGATCTTCTGCGCCTTGAGGTTTCACAGGCTGTGTTACCTCGGGATCCTGATGCTGTTTGCATCATGGCTCCTTCTAACAACCTTATGGCCAGCAGAACAGTTGAAGAGGCAGGGGATGCTTTTGAGCAGTACCTTTTGGCTATTCTCAGTCGCTGGCCTAAGGTGAGGAGCTGATTTATGTAATTTTGGAGGTATAGGAAGCGACTGTAAACGTACATTAAAAAAATTATTTCTTTGTTTTTTTAGGTTTTCTGTACCGCCATGATTCCCCGTTTAGTTGGATCCTGGGAGCGTCAAGACCTGTTTCAGCAGGAGTACCACCGCAGATCGGCTAAGCTACGTAAGTTGCAACATAATTGGATAAAAAGGTAGTATTGACGACAAGTGTTATTGCTATATACTTTAAGGCATCAAACAATCACATTTTATAACTTTACATAAATTTTTTCCTTCTGCTTCGAAGGTGTAAGTTACGTGCCCATCCACGATGACCTACCCAGGTACCGTCGCGAACTGTGGTGCCATGATGGTGTAAGTATATTGCTTGGAAGAAAACAAGGTAAAGATTCTTAGATTTGAGGTAATAAATTTGTATTTTCTTTTGTTTGTGTTTGTGGTTGCAGATCCACCTCAGTGATGACCACGGGATGCCTATACTCACGCAACTGATGTGGAATGCCTCCTATCAGTTCATGGAGACACCTGCACCAAAGCCACTGATGCAGCATCAGGTGTCTCGTCCGCTGAAAGCGAGTATTGTGCCCCGTGTGGTTGTGAAGGGTGTGGAACGCATTCCACCTCCACGCCCTTCCGAATGGACGTCCGTGAGACCTAGCGGGAAGGTGAGACACTTTATAAAGTATAAATATTGTAAAATGTTTCTAATTTTAAGCCGCTGTGCCACTAATGCTTCTAAATGTGTTTTCTTTTATTTACCACTGCAGAGGAACCATTCAGGGGAATTTGAAAAGGCCTCTAATTCCCCCAAGAAACGAGTGGTTCTTTCTGAGGTTTGTGAATGTTTTTGATTCATCTTTTTCAGAGAATTTTGATTAGATGGTAATATGTGGTGAATTTTCTTCAATAGACTGATGACACTTCAGTGGCCTTGAAGGAGTGTTTCATCCCCCTGAATCCCGTTAGGTTCTCACCTAAAATTCTGGCTGCCATGGACACGCTTGCTCCATCGGCTCTTGGTGATGTTCCCACAGACATCCAGGTATCTTTAGACAAAGGGTTTATTATCTCTTAATGCATAGTGTAATGGTGTTCCTGATGGTTGTAATATGGGCTGTCGGTATGTCATTTTTAAAAGTATTACACTGAACTAAAAAATAATACTTTTGTGTTTGTAGACTACGTCTGTGGGACATCGCAAGAAGCCTGCTGTCTTGAAGCCCAGGCCAGTAAAGCAGCGGGTAAATAATTGTTTGATTAATTAAAGACTCTTGCACACAAATACATTATGGTGTCAGTGATCATACAACTGTTGTGGATTGCTTCAGCTCTTGGAGACATCCTCACCAAAGCCACTGGTGCAGCGCCAGGTGTCATCCAGTTACGGCAAGTAATGTGCCACACGTTGTTGCGAAGGTTGTGGAAACCATTACACCTCCACCCCCTTCCCAATGGACACCCGTGAGACCTGATGGGATGATAAGATACTTTGTAAAGTATAAATGTTCTTAAAAGTGTATGACTTTAGGTGACACTGCTAGTAATGCCTTTAAATTTGCTTTTATTTTTTATTTTTTTTAATCATTACAGAGGAACCATTCAGGGGAGTTTGAACACGCTTCTGATTCCCCCAAGAAAGGAGTGGTTCTTGTTGAAGTTAGTGAATGTTTTTGATTACATTTTTTTTTAGATTATTTCCATGTAGATGGTAATATCTGGTCAATCTTGTTCAATAGATTGGCACTCCAGTGGCTGTGAAGGAGTGTTCCATCCCATGGTTCTCACCTGAAAATGTGGTTGCCATGGACACACTTGCTCCATTGGCTGTTTGGGATGGTCCCACAGACATACAGGTAACTTCAAAGCAAATGTTTATTATTATCTTTTAAAGTAAAGTACTTCCTGATGTTTGTAATATGGGCTGTCTGTATGGTATATTTGAAAGTATTGTACTTAAACGTATTATTTTCTGTTTGTAGACTACGTCTGTGCGACATTTTAAGAAAGCAGCTAGGCGTGTCCAGAAGGAGGTTGATTCATTAAATTATCTGGCATACAAATACATTGTGGTGTTATTTTTGTTAACTGTTGTTGTTCTTGAATTATAGGTTGCATCCCCACCTTGCATAAATCCTCTTGCAGACGTGGAGTCTGTTCATTTTAGGAAGGAGGTAAGAAGTGTGTGTTTCAAACATAAAAACTAAACAAATCTTGATGGTGTTTAGGATGTATTGCCCTTTAATTTCTTTTATATAGGTGTTGGACTGTGACCAGCTGCCTTTACCACACCATCAGGAGGCATCTGGTTGTCCTGGGTCTGTCTCTGGGTCTGGTGCTGCCCATGCTGTGATGCTTCCTTCTGGCCAGAAGGGTGATTGCCATCACGCGCATGCATCACCCAGAGGTCAGTCCACTAACACCCCTTCTTGCATGCGTTCACAGGTTTTGCTATCGTCTCTAGTTCCAGAGACAACTGTTCAAGAACCTTCAAGCAGTTCTGTTGTAAATAATTTTGATGAAGATGATACAATCTTACACAAGGATGATAGTTTTAGACTCTATCCTAGGATCATTTCACCAGGGCGATAGGCGTTTTAAATATGGGGGAGTTCAGTGCGCAGCTATTACTGTTGTTGCTTTAACAAAGCACAAACAGAAGAATGTTTTTTCTTGGGATTTTGCCATGTTGGATAACGTTGTTGAGTTAGGAGATGAGCTGTACACAGATTTGCGCGACAACAAAAAGATTAGAGGTGGACATGAGTTTCTCTCTGTTCCAGACTTGCCAAAGGAAATTGACATAGAAGAACAGTGTTTTAAGCTTGTTTACGGGGATTTTGTTTCAGGAGATGTAGATGTAGTTGAAGGCGAGTTAATAGATGCTGGTGTGTACACTCCTCTCCTGGATGGATTGCAGAAGATGTGCACACAGCATGAAACTTGCATTATGACAATGGCATACTTTGGCAATACTTGTGCTATCATTTGTGATAATGGACGTTATGCTGTAGTAGATTCCCATGCACGCTCTGCAGACGGCATGGTAGACCCGACAGGACAGAGTGTAGTTCTGTACTTTGCAAACCTTGAAAATGTTTTTCAACATTTTCAGAGGTTTGCTAGTAAACTAGTGGGATCTCAGAAGTCATTTGAGATCACTGGAGTGGATATTGTTCAGATGGACACATTTAAAAATGTATCTGAACAAACAAGTGCAGTTCCCATGAAGGCCAAAGGGGAGAAGGGCAAAAGGTCATCCACATCCACAGCATGCAAAAGGATGAAGATTGATGATGTTAAGGATATGGACTCTGTTGTTTTTGTTAGTGATGTTACGACAAAGGTTTGGCATTTTGATCCCATCTCTAGTGATGTGTCAGAGGTTCTGTGTAAACGGTTGAATGTGGCGTATGAAAAGTGTGATTATGTTTGTTGTGGTGTTGGTGAGTTGGGTGTATGAGGAAATAGTTGGTGATGGAAACTGTTTTTTCAGGGCAGTAAGTCGAGCTGTTACTGGCACCCAGAAATATCATAGAAAAATTCGGCTCGCTGTGGTAAACCAGTTAAAAAGGAATCCTCAAACATATCAAAGTATTTTAAGAAGTGAGTATTCCTCGGTTCCACACTATCTTAACTCGTCTAGGATGCAATATGTAGGAAACTGGGCAACTGAGGTAGAAATTCAAGCTGCCGCTGATTATTTTGGCATTAACATTTTCACTTACTGTAATGAAAAATGGCTTGAATACAGCTCCAACAGCAGCATATCTAATCAAGGTGTTTATTTACAAAATTGTAATGGTGACCATTATGAGACAGTCATTTGTGTTAAACAGCCTAACATGGAAACATGTTGTAACGTGAGGAAATATGGGTTTTCTATGCCAAAGTTTGGACTTGGCCCGGCTGGGTCAAAGCTGGGTCGCTGAGAACTTTCACCCACAGAGTGAGACCTTTGCCGACATGAAGTCTGCAAGAGTCTGCTGCAAACCATAACATCTGCCACCTGCAGTGCCAGAAGATGTGTTCCCATGGAAGCTAGTCATAACATAACAAAGTCTTAAACTTCCTTTCCTTTATTTTAAATGTTAAATAATCAGTATTATCACTTTGCTCATTATAAATGTGTTTTAATCAAATGAATGATTATTATGCTTTGGGTAATCATAATAACTAATGAATCAATGCTTAATTAAATAATGTTTGAAGATGTTATAATGACCTTCACACACACACACTCTCTCTCACAGTAAACTCCAAAACACATTTGCTCTGACGCACAAGTTTTGCTTTGAGAAGAGAAAGGCTTTTGGTAAGTTTCAGTTCATGATTCAGTTCGTGTTGACAATGAAAGAGAGAGGACGTGTGAACAACGCCAACGGGGAACGGGGCTGCGGCTCCTTTCTCCCCCCTCACGCTGTTCCTGCCAAGCCAGACAGGATAGCTGAATTACAACCGCTAATGCAGACTCGTCCCAAGTCTTTTGATTTCTGAGTAATTAAACTTAAGAAAGCGCATCTGCAAACGCTTTATCATCAACGTGTACCGAGGGCAACTCTGGACCGGGTCGCAGCACACCTTCGTCTTCTCTGCCAGCCAAGGTGTCACCTGGATGAAACATCCTCCTCCTTTGACGTCCCGGATCTAAGAGAGGGTCCAAATACGGTGAGGCAGTCCACGAGAGATAGCGTTTGATGCATCTTTTCCAACAAAACCTAAGTTTATTCAAACCATCACTTTTCACTCAGACACCTGTTTCTTCCTGAAGCAAAATCAGACGCACACACGCATTCATCTCACCTCATTTTCAATTTTCACACATTCAACACAAGGTCTATTTGAGCAAGTTTACAATATCAACTGTTAAAGATTGTTCAACAAAGTTGCCAATGTTGATTGTTATTTCCTATGCTTGTCATTTCAAAATCATTAGTTTAATTTGAAGAATTAAAACTTTTCATTTTCAAACTTGTCTCTTCATTGAACTGAAACACAGACCCACGGATATTATCAACAGTTTATCGATGAAAACAACCTTTGAGTCTTCTTAAAACTATAAAATTTGGTTATTAATTTATTAAAAGTTAATATCTCAAATTAATATGTAGGATGGTTCATCTTTCATAAAAGAGCCTAAACCATTACTCTACAATGTTATGGGTATTGCAAGACTGTAGATGATTCTGGAAAATGTAACACTCGACAAGCTGCTACTGAACCTTTAAAGCATCGTTTAGAGACCATAAAACCTGTGTCTTGTTCCATAGAAGCACATGATACCCGTGTGTTTGATCATGCCAATGCTTTTACTCCTCTGTCAGCAGATGTTTGTAAAACTCTTTGTAACATGTTGAAAATAGATTATGACAAACACACTTCCCAAGACCATGTGGGACTTTAGGAAATGTGTGTAAGACCGAGGATATTGTAGAAGATGGTAATAGTATTTTCAGAGCTGTAGCTCATTCAATTAGTGGGTCACAGAAAGGCCATCGTAAGGTCAGACTTTCTGTTGTTTCATACATGTTAAAAAATACTGAACAGTGTCAACAGTTCCTGGGAAAACATGCTTCTGTGTCACAATATATAGAAAATTCACAGATGAAGTATGTAGGTCACTGCTACAGAAGTAGAATTTAGGGCTGCAGCTAATATGTTAGGTGTGCACATATTTATTAATAATGGCAATGAGTGGATCAAATATAGTCCTAAATCCAGTAATTTCATCATTGAGGGACTATATTTGTCAAACTGTAATAATATTTTAAAACCTAATATTTGCACTAAGCAGGGTGACAAAGAAACATGTTTGGGTTTTTGTAAAGTTGAGTCTTTGTCAGACACTGTAAACAGGAAGATCAACAAAAAAGCAGTTAAATGCTGACCCAAACATTAAAAGTATCAAAATGAATACAGTTTTGTCTAAATATAAAAAACAAAAAAAGGCTTTTACAAAAGCCTTTCGATATAGAAATGACAATACATTTAATGAAAAAGTTAAAACTCGGTACCAAAAATTATATAAGACAAGTTTTGTATATAGGATGACAAAAATCAACTCCAGCAAATTTAAATACAAATTTGTTGCTACACATAAACAGAAAGTTAAACAGATGAGTTTATATAACTATCGTCATAAATTATCTCACAGAGAAAACGTTAAAGAGCAAGTCACCCCCAAATAAACTTTTTTTTGCTGATAAACTAAATAAACGAGTGTCTAATCGTGCTGCAGACACGTGTCGTCAATAATTTGGCACTTCAGTGCATCTTAGTTAAAATTTAAATATTCTGCCTAAAACTGGCAGTGTTGTGCCGTTGTCAGGTAAAAACTCTGCTCTGTATTCTAATTTAAATCTGCCACCGCTATTGGCTAAGAGGTATGCTATGATGTCATCTGGTACATTATGATGTCACAATGCTGTTGTGAGCCTGTGTGTGTATATTTGATAGCAGCTCCGCCCTCTCGATCTGCCTGGCAACAGCATTTGTTGCATTTTTCAAACATGAAGTAGGGGTGGAGTTAGACTCTGGTAGGGGTTGACTTGCTCTTTAAACAGAGGACAATTTATGAATACCACGATAATTTGTCTCATCAAGAAAGAGTCAAACAGAGGGGTATTCATGAATACCACTATAATTTGTCTCATCAAGAAAGAGTCAAACAGAGGGGTATTCATGATTACCACCATAATTTATCTCATCAAGAAAGAGTTAAACAGAGGAGTAAACAGAGGAGGATTATGAAAATAATCGTTAGTTGCAGCCCTTCAACACTTTGATTTTGTCACTGAGCAATTTTTGGAGAAGGTAAAAGATGGACCTGATTTTGTGTGTTGTGTGTGCTCTCGATTGTTATTTAAACATCAGGTCTTAAATTGTCGCAAAGAGTATTATAAAAAAATCAAAGAAATGTCACTTATAGCAGATAAATATATAAGTGAAGATTATGTGCATAGATGCACCAGTGCCTGCAAGTCACCATGTGAGTTTTTCAATACATCTAGAAATTCATTGTATATCTGTTACACCTGCCACTATAAAATTAACAAATGTCAAATACCTCCGCAGAGTTCAATCAACAAACTGACTGTTGATCCCATCCCACCTCAGTTTGCACAATTAAATACATTAGAGCAACATTTGATAGCTTTAAATATACCATTTATGAAAATGTTGGCTCTGCCTAAAGGTGGTCAGAATGGAATTCATGGTCCTGTAACTTGTGTACCAGCAAATATAGTTGAAACGTGCAGTTTGTTACCACGCACCAACATGGAGGGGTCTTTATAACCTGTAAAGTTAAAACGTAAATTAACATATAAAGGCCATTATGATTATCAGTATGTTGACGCAGTGCATGTCCAGGAAGCTCTTCAGTATTTAAAACATCATAATTTACATTACAAAGATGTACAGTTCAATGAAGCGTGGATTAATGAATTTTCTCGTGTGGATGACCATTCTGTATCGGAAAAGGGCAGTGTTGCTGATAAAGATGAGGGTGCGTGCATAGAAGAGGATGAAGATGAACTGCTGCATGATCGACAGCAACACTGTATGTTGCAGGACACCTGTCTCATGCCAGTGGATATGGGACAAGAAGCATTACATCAGTATGTTGACAACGTGTTAAATGTAGCTCCTGGTGAAGGTAATAATCCATTGAAATTGCTTTCTGATGTTACAAATGAGGCTAAATGTTTCCCTGTATTATTTCCTTCAGGATCAAAAACGTACCACGAAAGCTGGCAATATAATTTGACATTGAATCGTTATTTTAACACTAGACTTCTTCACGCTGATGGGCGATTTGCTCATAATGTAGAATATATCTTTTTTGCACAGTACATGTCTGAACTGGAGCAGGTTGTCTAAAGTTTCTATAGCTCTGCGTAAATATAAAAGTGGTGAATCCCATGACTTGCGTAATTTGGTAAAGGATCAGGATTCCTTAAATAAGCTGTTGGAGTTTGATGATGTATCGTTTCCTCAAACCTATTCGGGGCACACCTGCATTTTGGCAGACTGCACAACGCGACCTGCTGGCATGTGTTAGAATGCTGGGCATACCTACATGGTTTGCATCATTTTCGTCAGCAGATATGAGATGGACTAATCTCCTGTACAGTATTTTGAGACAGGAAGGCAGAACACAGACAGTGGAACAGCTGGAGTGGGCTGATAAATGTGAACTGCTGCGTAGAAAGCCTGTCACTGCTGCCTGAATGTTTGATTTTCGATGGCACGTCTTCGGCACGTCTTCTTAAGAGAAGTTCTTATGTCTCCTGCCAATCCCATCGGTAAGATTGTAGATTACTATTATCGTGTTGAGTTCCAGCAGCGTGGTTCTCCACATTGTCATTGTCTGTTTTGGGTTTCTGGTGCTCCAGTTTTAGACAAGAACACAGATGAGGAGGTCACTGCATTCATTGACAAATATGTGACATGTGAACTCCCTCCTGAAGAAGATTCACTGTCTGAAGAAGT